CTAAATATGTGGTAAACACTTCATATATATTCTTGAGAGCCTACAACAGGAGAGGTATCATTCTGTGCATCGCAATGCAAACTAGACACAAGTCTTTGCAGTCATGGAACTTACACAACAGGAGGGAGACATCAGACTGAATCACACAAATGTTCAATGATCACACACACAGTGCTTAGGAGAGGCAGTGAGTACTGGGAGAGCTCATAACAAGAAACTGATGCACATTTAAGATGTAGGTATCATGAAAGGCTTCCCAGAAGAGGTGATACTTGAACTGAGATTTTTTTTCGGAAGGAAGAGCTTGAGAAAGAATATTCCAAGCAAAGGGGAAAACAGCAAGCTCAAAAGCCCTGAGGTGGGAAGGAGAACATAATTTTTGGTAGTAGGTTTTATTAATTGTAAGGTAATCTGCCCTTGATGTGAAGGAATAAAGGAAATTAATGTCAAAGCGAAACATAAACTATGTGCTGCATCTAACAAGTATTTCAGAATTGTTTTTTAGGAATCACAATTTGTTTATTCGGCAAACATTTCTCAACGGAATCCTGCCTACTCGGAGAAAGGGGCCAGCAGAAATACAAGGAGTGAAACTTGGAAACTGGATAGAAACTACAGCAAAATTTTAAAGTAGTTAGGATTTTTCCCCTAAAAGCTCTCCACTGGAAGCCACCAGAAAATTATTTGAGAAAGGAAATGCCATAATGGGATTTATGTGCATACGCTATGGCACAGAGTGGAAGCCCAGAGAAAAGGTCATGCAGTGAGGAGGTGGGATGGATGAAGATGGTGGCGGTGGGAAAAAAAAAAAGACTCAACATATTCCATTCAGTTGCTACCTGTTGCTCACCTAGTCTCTTAGCCCCCTAACCAGGATCCCATCCCTGGGCTTGCTCTCGCCCTTCCCAAGAGGGCAGCAAAAGCTGCTGGAGCACCTGTGATCATGGATCTTGGGGCACCTCAGTGGCCCCTGCTCCTTAAAATCCCAGGCTGTTAGGCATGACTCCAAAGGAGGTCTTTTTCTCCAGTGAGTGAGTTTGAAGAATGATGAGCCACTCACTAATCTGCTTCTGCTCCAGCTTTCTTCCGAGGGGACCAGGCAGGGGGTTGCTTTGGTGTGCTCCTCCTGCCTCTGTTAACAGCAGCCTCAGCTGTTGAGAAAAGCTAGAGGATTACTCCTCCTGGGGCTCCCTGTCCCCCATCCCCCAAAACAGCTGAAGGAAAGGCTTGAACGTTCTTTCACAAAGAGACGCATTTTGGTATTCATGGTGGGGAAGGCATATATTTTGAAACTGCCTTTTCTGGTGATAACAGAAATACAATCGTATTGGAGAAAAATGGAAAGCTGAAGGAAGACTCGCCAGCCTGCATACTATCACGCTGGACTTTTTTGCTTGTTTCTCTGTCATAGATACTTATTTTTGAATAGTCAAGGCCACACATGCTAAATAAGAGTTCTGGCATCTTGTTCTCTTCACCTGGTATTAGGATGGCTTTCTGTGTTACTAAAGTACTCCATAAACGATTTTGATAACTACATGGCAGCCATTATTTTTTTAAAAGAAAAACTTATTTTATTTCGTCTTTCCTGAACATTCAAGGGGGTTATAACATATAAGCAGTATAAGAGCAGCTATGACAGACAAGGTTGTTTATCAATCTTTGCCTGCACTTTGAACACCCAGCCCCATCCCTGTGGACTTCTAGGCAGGGAATTAGTAAGGGAAATTCTATAGTCACCGGACAGAAAAGCAAATCTCTAGCAGGGTAATTTCCACCAAATATAGCAGGTCCTGGCAGGGAAACTAGAAGACTTTGGACTCCTGTGCTTTGCTCTGTAAGGACCTGTCTCTCTCCTTCTTACCACCGGACAAGCAGTGCCTACTAAGTGTCTCTATGTCAGGAAATACCTTTCTCCAAACATCTTACTGGATTATGGGCTGTAGAGGCAGCCGGGGCTGTGAGTTCCTTGTCTTCTAACTTCCTTTTGTGGCAGACAGGCAGAGTAAGGAGAATCCTTCCCCAGGGTCTGAGAATCTGCTTGCACTGGGCTGTATTTGGAACCAGCGAGGCCACCTTGAGCACTGTCATTTCCCCTTTTGGTGACAAAGCCAGCCAGAGAAGGCAGCAGGGATTGGAGGCATATTTTGAGTTTGTTGCTGTTTTAGGGGCAGAGCCCTCCCTTTAAATTAAGCCTTATCAGAACCTCAACTCTAAAAACAGACGAAGGAGCAGTCACCCTGGTGAGCAGTGTGGGGAGGGCAGTTTCTGGTGTGAAATTCTGGGCAGAGAAGGGCAGCTTCATTCCAGTTCAGTCTAGTTCTCTTCCCTATCGCTGAAGTTTAAAAACATTATCTTTCATCTGTATTCAAATCCTCCAAATGTGCTGATCAATGAAATCTTTTCTCTTCTTAAAGGCAATTTGGAAATCAGACAAAGTGGAGCACAAAGCCACGGATATTTAGAGCGAGAGTGAGCAGTACGTGCGACACGCTGAAAGGGTGACCCTGGCACTTCTAAGGCAGCAGCACAAAGCGCTCTTCCAAAGAAACCACGTCAGAGTTTATTCCCCCTCTGCCACCGCCCCCTCAGTGGGGGGGCATTGCTTGTTCGTACCCCACCCTTTCCTGGAATCATTTCAGACCAAAATCTAGAGTAACCTTAGGCAGATGTTTTCTAAGGCCAAAGACTGAAAGATTGGAATAGGGTGGTGGGTCTGACAAGTTTCCCATTGGGACTTTGGCGGTGAGGGAAGCTCGCCCACCAAGCAGCTTGTGGCTTTGCTCCAGTCACTGCAGGAAAGGGTGGAAGCTCGCCTCGGTCAAGAAGGGATTGAAGTCTATGGCTTTAGCGTCAAGAGAGGAGGTAAGAGGCCCAGCCTGAACGCAGCAGGCCCAGGAAGAGCCCTGCAAGGAGGGCAATGGGACTGCATCTGTAAATCAACGCTGGTCCCATCCCACCCCATGCTGGACAGTGGGGGATGGGGTGTGGGGGGTGGGGAGGACTGTGCAAACGTCTTCGGAGGAGGGTTGGTGCTGCCTTCCCAGGGAGACCCGACCTTTCTTGGAGAGGCGGGGTGGCTTTAGTCTCCTGGAGCTGCAGTGATGTGTAAAAAGCGGGCACGACCCCGAAGCCTCAGAAACCCCGCTCCTCCCCCTGAGGCCCGCCCAGACCCGCAGGTGAATGGCTAGTCCACACAAAGGAAACCAGCTGGAAACGTGGAATTCGGACCAATTTACAGAGGACTCTGTCGCCTAGGGTCCCAACAGACCGCAAGCAAAGAAACCTGTGGTCAGGAGTGGATGAGGATAAAACCAGTGCACCAGGCCAAGCTTATTGGAAAAGCCGAGTTTAGTTATTCTGGGATAGCGAGGTAACAGGATTAAAGGGATTAAGGAAATCACCTCAAACAGCTGAGGAGGGGGTAAAAAAACACGGATTCTATTTGTTTTCTTCCTAGGCCCCAAACAGATACGCTGGGGCTCGAAGCGAAAGGAAGGACCCTTGGGGGAGTACAATGGAATGGTCAGTGGTTCTGGGCTGGAGGAAAGGGAATAGAAAACAAGCTCTGGGCTCAAGATGAGAGAGAGCCTTTCTAGAAAACAAATAAGCAAACTGCTTTGACAAGTTAAAAGCGAGCCTTGGGAGGTGCTCGAAAACTCTTTTGCACATCCGCAGTGTAACTTTTAAAACAAAATCTTCCACTGTTGAACGTTCACACCTCTGCTTCAGCTACCACGGTGGAAATATTTATATCCTAACGGGGACGCCTGTAACCATGTATTTTAAATACGATCACTGAGATTTCTGAAGGGCTTTCGTTTTGTAAATATTTCAACTCAGTTCAAGTATCTTCCCGCCCTAGTGCACAGAAGTAAGTGCCCCGCTTTTGTTAAGTTTCCGAGGCTGCAGGTGTCTGCCTCCCACCCACAAGGCTGCGGAAGCAGACCATCAGTCCCGGAATGCTCACCACCGCAATCAACAAGTGCATGGCTGCGCGCGGGGGGTGTGCAGCTCAGGTAGTGTGGGCCACCTCCGGGTAGGCGCTTCCAGAAGACAAATCTTTCCCTCCATTTGAGACTGTTTCTCATTTGAGAGTACTGGGAGCTGCTGTGGGTTGGATCTCTAGTCGTTTAAAAGAAATCATTTCAGGTCATGTTCGCCCCCCCTCGAGCCCTACTCAGTCCCAGGTCTGCAAACTGAGTTCTAAAACTACGTGTTGGTCTCCCTCTCAACCCGCGCTTAAAATTTCGGGCCCGCAAAATCATCAGGACTCCAGCATGTAGGTTATAAAATTTATTGATCTCTCATTTAGCAATTAAGAGTAAAGTCTTGAAAAAACCCAGAACAAAATAACCCCCTCCCCACTACCCAAACGAAAGAACACATTAGCATGACGAAATAGCAAACATATCACTGCAAGAAATCACAAACTCAACAGCCTAAATGCGCACTGGACAGAAGCTGTCCCGCGGCCAGGGGCTGCGAGGCGGGAAAAACACGCACACCTGGCTATAAATTAACATTGGCTTTAGCTGTCGCGCCAGTTGGCGCGGTCAGCCCCCCAAAAATCAGAGGAAAGCAGAAGCAATACGACCTGGGGGGGTGATGGAGACATTGCAGTTCGTGGGTCAATCTCACTCACTCCTCGATTAATAGCAAACTAACAAGACAACATTTTCAAATGCAACAGAAGAACCTAGGAACCCGGGAAGAGGAGAAAGGGGCTGCACTTCGCAAACATCACAGCGGTTCCCAGCCTACAAAGGGGGAGGGAGGGGCAGCGATCAGAAGCCTGAGGCTCTAGAAAGTCCCATTTCCGCCGTTCCTAACTTCTTTTTGCTTTTGTACAAAACCCGACAGCTACAGCAAAACTTTCAGTTCTCCTCATCTTCGGTACAAGGCAACAGTCCCAGGCAAGCAAAGCTAAACAACAAGGCGTCCCAACTTGGGGGTGTGGGGCAGGGTGGGGGCGAAGAGCTAGAAGCGCAGGCGGGAGCTCAGATGTGGGTCAGCGGCACAGTTCCATTGACCGCAGTCCCGGCGCCCTGGTAGTGCTGGTGTACTCCGTGCAGTTGGCCGCCCGGCAGTGGAGAGGCGGCGTCAGCCGCATCCCCGCCAGGTGGCAGGTACATGCTGATCATGTCGCGCAGGTCGCCAAGGCACGCGCGCTGCGAGTGCGAAGCGATGGCGGGCGGTGGCGAGCTGGGCTCCGACTTCACCACAGAGCCCATGGGGCCCAGGCTCATGGCGGCAGCGGTAGCGGGGCTGTTGCCCGTAGGCGGCGGCGGCCGCGGCGGCGGCCGAAGGCGCCATGCCCCCATAGCCTGAGGCGGCGGCCGCAGTGGCCACAGCGTTCATGTAGCTCTGGGCGCCGGGTGGCATCATGGGGCTGTACTGCAGGCCAGCCATGTCGTAGCGGTGCATCTGCAGTAGCGCGGGCGGCGGCGGTGGGCTGCTCATGCTCGGGGGCTGCGGGTAGCCCAGTTGCTCCTGCACCAGCGAGTATGCGCCATTGGCCCAGCTGTTCACGTGCGAGTATGTGTCCAGGCGCTGGCCCACGCCCACTGGGCTGCTGGTGGCGGCTGCAGCGGCTGCGGAGGCCGCGGCGCCGGCGGCGCCCGGGGGCAGGAGGCCTCCGGGCAGGGAGTACTTGTCTTTCTTGAGCAGCGTCTTGGTCTTGCGGCGCGGCCGGTACTTGTAGTCCGGATACTCCTTCATATGCACCGCACGCAGTCGCTTGGCCTCGTCGATGAACGGTCGCTTCTCGGCGTCTGTCAGCAGTTTCCAGTCGGCGCCCAAGCGCTTGCTGATTTCAGAGTTGTGCATCTTGGGGTTCTCCAGGGCCATCTTGCGCCGCTGCCCGCGGGACCAGACCATGAAAGCGTTCATGGGCCGCTTTACGCGATCCTGGTCGCTGCCCCCGCCGCCGCCGTTCGCGCCACCGTTGCCTGCGTTCGCGCCGCTGGCTGGGTTCGCACTACTCTTGCCTGCAACACCCGGGGCTGCGGGGCCACCAGTGGCCGCTGTTGGGGTGGGCGGCCCTACGGGGTTCTTGAGTTCAGTCTCCAGCAGGCTGTACATTGCCGGGGCGGGAAGAAGGTGCTCCAGCGTGGCGGGAGGAGAAGGCGCTCCAGGGGCTGGAGCAGCCAGGGTGAAAAGGCCGGGAGACTACGTTGGAGTGGCGTTTGGGGGCCGGTGGGCCGGAGAGTCGGGCGGGAAGGGCAGGCTTGCGGGAGTGCTCCGCTCTAAGTCAGCGGGAACGCTCGGGCTTCTCTCACCTGATGCATTCTCTCGAGCTGGTCGCATTCGCTGCCTGCCCGGGAAGCTAGCCGATGCTTTATATACCTGCTCAGATCCGGGAGGGTTGGGGCTCGGTCCGCCTCTCACCACCCGTCGGCCCTGTGATTGACAGGCTCCCCGTGATGAGCCCTAGCCAATCAACACCGAGCCCCCTATGGCCCAGCTTGGAGAAAAAAAAAAGTTCGGGGAGCCCTTTAGTTCACCCTCCAGACCCCTCTTGGGTCGAATGACGTGATGAGAGTTATTCAGGAGGCGGGAGTCCCTGAGACCCGCTCCGAGACCACCAATTAGGGTCTCAAAAAGTTTGAAAGAACGAAACCCAAGGAGGTGAGGGAGGAGGGGGAAGAGGGCGCGCGAACAGAACTGGGGGGGAGGGGCAGAGGAGCTTCCACAGGCTTCAGAAAATAACTTTGTAACCCTGACGAGGCTGAGCAGCGCCTCATCCCAGGGCTAGTCTCTAAAGCTTCCCTTATTCTGCACCGAGGACCTCCATTGCGGTTGCTAGCGCTGGAGACACTGGGGACCGCCAGCAGCCCAGGCATGCTTGGGACATTCAATGCATAACGGAGGTGTGCTAGGCTGAGCCTCTAAGAAGCCCTCCTTGGAATTAATTGGTTGCTGGCTGCCAGAACCCTCCACCCCTAGGCCAGTGCGTCCACAACCGAGCGAGGGTCAGGGACTGGGGCGGGGGACTGCGAGCGCACCTGGCAGTGAGGCTCTCCCGGGGTTTTCGCAAGTGCCCTTGGTGAGTGGCCCGCTGCCTGGGCTCTGGGGGAGGCGCTCACACGCGGTGGCGTGGAGACCGTGTGTGGGACAGAAAGGGCGAATGGGCCTCCACTTTCTCGCTCCAGGCCCCCGCTTAGAGGCCCCTTTTTGTCTCTGCTGTCTGGCCATTTCGGGTTTTCCAGTCCGATGCTCCTGAGGGGGAGGGTCGGGCCCCTTGGAAAATCCGTTTTCATGGCAACACGGAGCCTCTCAGAGTGAAAGAAAAGTTTGGGGGGGGCGGTGTGGTGGCCGGAGCTGAGCCGAGGCCTTACTCTGGGTGGACCGCTGGGCCCCCTCCTCTGGCCGCGCACCTGCCACCACCGCTGTGAGCAGCTCCTGGCGCGCAACCGCCCCCGCTCAGCCCCCCCTCCCCCCCCAGGCTGTGCTAACAGACTTCGCTTCTCCTTTCTTGTTTTACAGCCTTTCTGACAGAAGCCCAGAGAAACAGAGCGGGACCTTCAGGCACTTTGTCGGGTTATCTGCCAAGGACTAGCGGTTAGAGAAACCCCAGCTGCTGGGAGCGGGAACCTGGACATGCTCTGCCGCCAGCTCAAGCAAGTGGCATGGCATTTGAAACTCTCGGAGCCGCCTGAGGGAGGGAATGGGAAGCCATCTGGGCAGATGTGGCAGAAACCAAAATAAGGTGTCCGCACAGTATTGGATTCCCGCCTCTCCCTTTAGCTTAGGGAAAGGTGGGGAACCTAAAGGAAAGCATAAGACTTACGTGTGTGTGTGTGTGTGTGTGTGTGTGTGTGTGTGTACGCGCGGGGGTGGTGGTTCCAGGCTTCTAGTTTTTCAGCGATAATGCAAAATGAGGTGATTTGGGATGCCCTCAAGCCTGGCTTGTCTCTTTCTCTCTTGCACTAATTAAAAAGCCGCCGACGTTTGCAGGGCGCAGACCAGTTCAGCCCTTTTCGTGGCCAGAAGGACCGCTGGCACCAGAATCTCGCTTTCTTTCTGGTATCACTTCCAGGAAGTTTGTGGTCCTGATTCCTTCCTTTTAAATTTGCATTCTACCTGGTCAGAGTAGTTTTCCGCCGAGGATAGCAACTGGGTGGGTGTACGGAGTTTACAGGCTCTGGAAAGATTCTGTGGGGGAGGGGGGGTAAATGTTAGTGTGAATGCGTGCGCGCACGCGCACGGCTATGCTGGAAAACATGTCTCAGAAAACAGAATGATTCAGCAAACCCCACCTGCAGTTGTTTTATTGATGAATTGGCTGACAGACTCAGATTTTCTTAGGCACACCCACGGGCCCCTAAAAAGCCGATGTGACTGGCCCCTGCCCTCCCACCACCCTCTTCAGGTCCTCTCTCAGTTTTTCTGGGCCCCGGAGGCTGTTGCTAAGTGAAGAGCGGTTTAGGAAACTACCCAACCGACGCACAGCCTGGCGTCCAGTAGCCTGACAGATGTCAGGATTCTTTCCAAGTTTTAGGACCCAAGTAAGCCGTTGTGGTGACAGCGCCTGGGCTGCAGTTTTTCCAAGATCGATCGAGGATGTGGGGCTGGTCCCCTGCTCCTCCCTGAAGCAGATTAGCTGTTTGTCATTTGATCACACCTTGTCCTGGTTTAAGTTAGCTCATTTTCACATTACATCCTCCTGCCAGTTTTACTGAGGTCGTTTGGTAGGATCAAGGCACCTTCTCTCACTCTCTTGGCTTCTCTGCAGTGGTTGGGATTAAACTGACCTCCCGCTGGTGGCTCTGAGCTGGTCGGGACGGCATCAAATAAGTGCTGCGCCGAATTCCCTTCAGAACACGTAGGAAAAAAAACCGTTCTTATTACAAGTTATTATTTCAACAGGCAAGCAAAGTTACTATTGTAGGCCCGGAGAGATTGGGGGTGGGGTAGTGAAAAGGAAACCATTATTAGGGCCCTCCCAGCAATGAAGACTACGACACCAGTAAAGTTAATTTTATTGAGGGTCGGCAGGAATGTCCGAGCCGAGCGGCTCCAGTTCCAGCAGAGGCTTTCCTGATGGCAAGGTGTTGAACTGCAGACTCCTCAAACTATACACTCACTGTGCATCTGTTAACAACATCAAGCAAAACCCGGGAGAAAAGAACAAGCTCAGCAGCACTCTTAGCCTTAGGGGCCTGCGGGATTCGCGGGCAACACGGAGAGCTCAGACTAGGAACTGGGCCAAGCGCCTCCTCCCCAACCCCCAACGCTCCCAGGAGTGTTAAGGCTCCCTCAGATTGGGGTCGAGCCAGGGGCTCGGAGGACCCATGGTGGGACAATGGCGCCGTTTGTTGGATTCCGTTGGAAACTCCACCCAGAGGAGCCCCTTCTCGCCCTCAGGGTCTTCCAGGTCGCCCCAACCCTGGAAAGGCAAGCAGACTTGAGGTCCGGGCGGCAGAGAAGGACCCATCCTTGGCGAACTATTGTAAAACGCCAATGGTCTGGATTCGAGCCGGCCTAGCCTGACGAACTCCAGGTTCATCCTCCGTCTCCCTTCCGTCACTACGGGAGAAATCAGATGCTGTGAGGTCCTCATATCTGCAAAGAGAACTTTTGGCATTGTGCTTCAGCTACTGTTAGTGAGAACAGGGGAAGAGGAGCTGTGTGTTACCTCTTCAGTAACCACTCAAGGCGGACATTTTTCAGGGCTGCTGGCCAGACTAGTATCCATCCTTTTGGCAGGGATGTCACGTGCATTCTGGATAGCCAGGGTTGCTAGATCTATGTGGGAGTCTGCTGGCACGTGCAGAGGGTGTAGAAGCAGAAGTTTCTTCAGGCTAGTTCAGGCCATCCGGGGTAGTTGACCCATAGAAGTCTAACATTTTCAAGTGTGTAGGTGCCCAGGGCCAAATACTGGTTTGGGGAATTGAAAACAATTTATCTTGGACACCTTTTCCTGCAGATAAAAGCCTTATATTTCTAAAGTCAATCCTGTCTCCCTTCTCCTTGAGAACATCCCTGGATCATTTACCCTGGTATGTCCAATACTGTATTCTGGCTACAGTGGGAGGGCCTTGATTAAGAAGCGTGGGTCTACTTTAGAATCATCCTTTGTTTTAAATTTTGAGGGTTTTTTTGTTGTTTTTTGCTTTTTTTTTTTTGGTTTTGTTTTGTTTTAAGGTCGGAAAGGTCACTCCAGCTGGTGGAAGACACATCACTTTCCAGTCCCTGGAGCGTTATGAGGAATCTTCCCTCTCCCACGCACCACAGTGTGGAGTGGGGAGGGGAGGCAGCTTTCCTGTATTTAGGTCAGGGAAGGATCGGAAGATCCTAGGTTGGTGGGAACAAATTTTAAACAACCTAGTTGGTGCTCTCTCTCTAAAGAGAAATTTCTGGGAGTCTAGAAGCATAGGATGGCATTGTTCTGGAGGTGACAAATTGTGTTGGGTGGCAAGCACATCTGCATTCTACTACATATTGGCCATAGCGTTTGGGGGGGTGGCACTTTTGGAGCAAGTTTCTAAATTCATTTACTTGAGTGACACTTGATAGCTATTGGAGTCCCTTTGGCCACCACGTACCTCGGGGCTCTCAGTTGTAAGCATGACTCTTACCAACGTTATGGCATTATTAATCACCCACTCTCTTTTCCCTATGTGCGCAGCAACTCTGAGGAGTTTGACAGATTTTGCCTTCAGCTGCCCTCTTGTTGACCTCACAACACTTACTTGTTGCCTTCTCCCTAGAGGGAGGAAGGCACTGCCCAGGAACTGGGTCCCATTCCAGAGGGCTGCCAGAGCCACCATTGCTGCTCTGTTTGTCTCCGCCTCACCCCCACCCATTCCCACAACTGTACCAGCTCCGCAGTTCAGACCACCAAACTCACACACATTTCTAAGGGGCAACCTCCAAAAACTGGCTTCCAGGTGGCTGTGTCTGCCCTTGCACTGTATGCCTACCAGGAAGGGGGTCCGCTTCCTTTGGGTCTGCGAAGGCATGGCCCTCACTTAAGCAGAAGAGAGCTGGTCAGTAAGAATATGGGACCAGGGAAGTCATCTTAAAATCTCTATCTGCACAGATTTACAATTTCTCCGGGGTGGGGATAGTCATAAGTCCACCAGACCTGACTACCCTCGCCTGGAAAAGCCCATGTAGACCAGGCATCTCCAGAACATCTATGCAGATTCACCCGTTCCCGCCTCGGGCGGTGCCTGTTAGCTTTCTGAGGGAAAATCAATCTCAAGGCAACATCCAGCTGTTCCTTTACTCCCTTCTCATGCTTTCCTTCTTTCTTTTTACCAAAAATTTGTATTTTCTATAATGGAGAGCCATGAAATTCG